TGTTAAATTAATGGTTGCTAATTGCTGGGTCAGAGTGGTGGGCAAATGGTGAAGATTGTCGAGGAGCACTTGGCAATGAGAGCAACAACAACTTTTTGCTTCACACTCTCTCTCCCAGTCCTCTTCTATGCAAGCCTAATCTCAACTTCCGTCGGCACAGTTGAGGCGCATGTGTACATGACATGCGCTTCCCTGGGCAGCATGTGTGCCCGACTTTGGAAAAAGCACCGCACGATAAGCAGTTGATATCACTGCATTTCTTGGTACGACCGGAGTAACACACACACACAAGTTGGCCACCAGGCGGGCAGTAGGGAAAACCAAATTCGCCAGCATTCCTTCACTCCTTCAAGTCAATTTGGCGGGAGTCGCTCTTAATCGCAGCGACGACGAGTCAGTCGATTGAATCATTCGGCGCTGCATCGTTTTCTGCTGCTGCTGCAGCCGCTGTTGTTGGTGTCCTGTCGCCAGTGTTGCCGGGTAGTTGTGCTCTTCTTCTTCTTTCCTTTTCTTTTTTTTGTTTGTCACTCCATTTTTACTGCACCGAGTCAACTGAACGTGTGTCTAGTGTTTAGTGCCGAGCATCGTATGCAAACACTAGTTTCACCAGCCAAACAACGGTGTCTTTCCCGCTCATCGCCTCCTCCATCTTCATCTTTATCTCCATTTTCTCGACACTCACACACACAAACACGTCAGAACAAAGGCGAATTGTCGCTGAACATTAAGATGCCGCGTTCATTCATCGTCGCTAGGCAAAGTAAGTTTTTATATGCCTTCCTCTTTCTTTTCGACGGCGGATACAAAGTGACAAAACAAATTCGATTTAGATTTGCATGTCCTCTAAAAGCTATTAGATTTTCTATAAAATGGAACTCTTGCGAGTTGGCCTAGCTTTGTTTCATCAATTAAAGATAGCCCCAAACATGTGCTCGGCACACGTTAGCAGGCAGAGCTGAGTTGGTTCAAGTAGGGAGGAAAACATGACTGCTTTTTCTACAAGTGCAATTGATTGTCAGAAGCAGCGAGGTGTGTTCACTGTAAGTAAATGTAAGTGAAACTATTCTTGATCGAGCCGAGTGGCAATCAAATTTGAAATGTGTCAATGCAGTTACAAACACTGCAGCTGCTTAACAAGAAACCTTCTGGGAAATGGTTATGGGTTCCTTGCCTTCCGTCCAGACGGCAGTCTCCTTCAGTCATTTTTCTCGCTATGCCTCTTCTTTATTTTCTCAGCACCTCTTCTCGTGTTTATTATGTCATCGACACTTCTTGTTCTTCATCTTAATAATTAAAGTATTTTTTCTTTTGTATTATAATATTTTTTCCTATGAACTCGAGCATAATTAATTTTGTGTGTATGAAAAACTTACAAATTTTAAATTAATTTTTAAGCAATGAAAACGCAACAATCATCAGTTGTCTGAAATTTTAATTAAGCTTTTGTTTGCTTTGTTAACGAACAATTCATTTTTTACACACATTTTTAAATTGTTTGACATTTCTGATTTTATTATTTTTAAAACACTAAAATTTGTAAAATATAGCAAAATGTGCAGGGATATGAAAAAAAAAACACTCTAGTTGTTGTCAAAATTGTTTTAAGTTATGGTCAGTAAATAATTTAAAATAAATTTTAAAATAACATAAGGTAAAGTGTCAAAATCGTGCCATAAAAATCACTTTTTGGAAAACCATTTTTATTTTAGAAAGGTTTTGTTATTTAGCTCAATTGCTATTTTATTTGAAATTTTGTTTTTATTTTAAGCTGTCAGCATGACCAAGTTATTTTATAAAGAAAATTGTTGCCTTGTTATTTATATTTGCAAATAATTTTAACTCAAAAATATTTGTTTTTAAATAAAACGTTAATTTTAAAATATTAGCAGTAAAGTGTTTACAAATAGTGTAAACTTTAAACTTTTTATTTTTTAAATCAATTTATATTGCTGTTTTGACCAAACTGTTTTGTTTATTCAGTTAGAGCAGACTTTTAAAAACACTATCAAACTTTGCTCTTTTGTGTTAAGTAACAGAGCCAAATGGCATACTATCAGATCAGTATTGAAAACATTGCACATCAAAGCACCATTATTAAAGATTCTTTGGCAGTGTTAACGCTTTTTACACCGTTTAATATTAAATTTTATGAAACTTAATAGATAGAGATTATAAAATTTATTACATTTTACTAATATTATTATTATTGCATTAACATATGCATTGACTGAAGTCGGTTCAGCGAAGCGTTTAGAGAACCAAACTCATTGAAGCAACTTGATTAAACATGGACAAAATATGCATATCAATGGAAGATATAGCAAAAAATAAAAAGAATAATTTAGTTTGCAAAAAAGACTCAATTAAAGCACTTTTTCTCAATGTGTTCAATAGGGCAGTGTAAGGACGGCCACACACTCAATGGCCATACTCAAATAATTTTTTATTTTTTTATCAAGTGTTGATATTTAAAAAAATAATTTATTTTTACTATAACTAATTTTAAAAAAAGAAAAATAATTTTACTATTTTTAAAATTACATTATGCGGTGAAATGAAAAAGTAAATATTACAAAATATGAAAAGAATCACTACTCCGCTAGATGCTGTTTGACTGGTAATTTGCTTGTGTAGTGAAAAGAGATTACAGTGTGATGACGAGATACAACGGAATTTGCGGTGACATGTTTGCGTCTTTCTCCCGAGTTGTGTGTACTTTAATTAAATTAACAATCTCAGCACTTACTCGTTTTAATGGAATATTTTTTATGCAAAAGATCGTTTCGTATGAAAATATAAGTTAATACATTCGAAACCTATTTTGTTGAATGGTTCAAGTATTACATGTCTGTTGATACGGTAGTAAACTGTTGAAATCAATAAATAATCAAAACTGAAATCAACCATTAGTAAACTTGCTTTTTTGCCTAAGGTAAGGCTAAAATTGAACATATTAAACAGTTCACAAGAATACCTTAGGCGTTTTAAAGTTTGATATCAACAACTAATCTATAAACATATTTAATATCATGATTGCGCAGTGAATATTCAGCAACCAATTTTTGATAACCTAATTTCATTTTAAAAACATTTTATTACAACAATTTATCTGAAACATGGTGCCAGTTGTTCAGCTCCTGTGCTCAAATCTAAATTTGTCGAATGTATTTTTAAATTTGATTGATTTCATTTTGATCTTTAGTTCATGCGGTGAAGGTTAATTGAGAAACGGAATTAAAAGAATTAAGAAAAATTCATCAATCATTCAGTGCAATATTAAAGGGTGCCTAATGAGGACAGTCTTTTGCAACTCTGTTTTCAAATGCCATTTGAAATGGCGCTCCATTTGTCTTGATCAGTCTATTTTGAGGTTATTCGCATTCTGCCACTGCATGCCTGGCCTGACAGTGGCCTGCACCCTTTGGCGCGGCTGGTCGTCCGTGAAATACTGATGAACATTTGAAATGTTAATTAAAACAACGAAAATATTTACAGGAAACATGCTAAATCGATTTTGCACCACCGCCGCCATTACCATCACCACCACAACTACCGCGTTCATCATCTGAGCAAACCGAATCCCGTACAGCACCGTTGTGCTATTCATTTCGTCAGTGAGAATGCACACACTTCGTAGTTGGAGGCAAATCATCACCCAAACGGTGGCTGACAGTGTGATCAGTGCCAGCCAAGTCGACTGGACCGGCAATGGCAGCAGCAATGGACTCGGTTTTGACGGTCAGGAGGGCGCCACAGAGGAGATGTGGGCGACAGGGCTGAACCAGACAACGGAGGCATCCGAGCTGGTGGCCCATCGAATGCCCCGACCCAATTACCACCTGATCTTAGGCGAGCCGAAGCACAGCATTGACCTTAACTTGAGCTTTCGCATTGTTTTCTACCTAATCTACGGCCTCATATTCGCGTTCGGGATCATTGGCAATCTCCTCGTTTGCTGGGTCGTTTTTCGGCAGACCTCCATGCGAACGGTGACCAACATATTCATTGCCAATCTGGCACTGTCGGACATACTTCTCTGCCTCTTCTGCGTCCCCTTCACGCCGCTCTACCTGCTGGCAATTAAGGAGTGGCAGTTTGGGCAATTCTCCAACTTACTTTGCCATCTGGTTCCGTTTGCTCAAGGCGTCTCTGTGTACCTGTCTGTGTTCACCATGTGCGCCATCTCAATTGAGCGCTACTCAGTCATCGTACACCCCTTTCGTTCGCCCATCACTGTCTCAAGTTGCATCACCATCATCTTTTTCATTTGGGTCTTTGCCATCATTCTTACGCTCCCCTATGGCATCTTCATGCAAGTACTCAATGTAGTACACATTCTGCCGGAGATTAAAAAGTACATTCATCATGGGAATGAGACGGGCAGTCAGATGGAGCTGACCAACCAGAGCACCGCTAGTGAGCAGATGTCGAAAATGGACAGCAAAGACAGCGAGTTTGTCAATGAGTTCCTGAGCCATCCCAAGGAAATGGCACTGAATCCAAAAGTTCGCTCACTGATCAGTCTGCCGAAGCTGTACTGCGATGAGATGTGGCCAGGAGACAATCTTCGAGTCATCTACGGAATCACCACCACCATTATTCAGTTTATCATGCCATTTTGCATCATCACCTTCTGCTACTTCAAAGTGTGTGCCCGTCTCTGGGACCGTGTGCACACCAGGCCGGGAAATCGAAACTGCTCGAACCAGCGAAAGTGGTTAGAGAAAGAACGAGCGAGAAGAACAACTCAGATGCTCATTTGGATGGTAGGATGATCACGTTGTTTAGCGTTTTACTTATTATTTCTATTTCTATTCATAGGTCATCTTCTTTGCCGTATCATGGTTCCCTATATCAGCATACAACCTGGTAATTTCCCATCATTGACCTGATAAACTGATCTCACACATTTGATTATTTTGCAGATTGAAGACTTTTACGGCCAAGTGGCAAACTGGGCTCACTCCAAAACACTATTTTTCACATTTCACCTCATCGCAATGTCCTCGTCAATTTACAATCCACTGCTGTACGCGTAAGTAAATGTCTGCTGCAGTGATGGTAGTGGAAACAAAAACTAAAAAATTACACCTTTTAGCTGGCTGAATGACAACTTTCGCAAGGAGTTCAAAAGTATATTCGTTCCCCTGACTAGTCGATGCTTTCGCCTGTTTGGCCGACCGGAAAGCTCACTGGATCAGGCGAAAGAGCTGCGCAACAAGGCCAACAATGCGCCCGGACAGTCGGCGACGGGAAAGAAGGCCGACTCGAGCAATGTGAACTTTGGAAAGCACAACAAAAGTAATCACCACCACGATTCACCGGTTGTTGTTCACCTCAAAACTGACCGCCTTTCTCCTCCTCCCCAAATGCAGACTGCACCTTCACCACTGACCTGAAGGGAAGTGAACGCGGCAAGGACGACGCCGTTGACGACGTGGAGATCTCCATGACCGTCCTCGACACGACCACCAACCTGGTGACGAACATGGAGTCGATCAATGAGTTTGAGCTGCTGGAGAGTCTGATGGTGACCAGCGTGCGCAATGGCATCTACGCAAACCGCGTTCTGCCGCCCTCGGGACAGGCACAGGCCATCGTCGACACTAACAAACTCTGAGGAAGCCATCTTTTATTCACCTCCCAACCAATATCATTTTGAATGTTTAATATATGGAGTATATCTGAAAACATTCATGCATTCTTTATAAGTTCCACGCAGTCATACCTCCCGTTTCCGCTGCACACACGCAAAGCAGCATCGCTTTTGCCTCCAATCGATTACATTTTCAAGTCCTCTTCTTACCTTTTTT